TGTAATGTTGTAATTAGTGCTGTAACATCACGGATATATCCAATTCCGTTTAACCGCCTGTCAAAACCGGACGGTTTTCGGTTAAACGATTTATTTAAAAAAAAAAAAAAAAAAAAAAAAAAAAAATGATTTTTTTTTTTTTTTTTTTTTTTTTTTTTTTGGCCGTGTGAAAAAGCAGGAAGGTGATTTAACCGAAAGGCGCCGATTCGTGCTTGTGAACTAGTCACAAATAATAGTAACAATGTCGTTTTAGAATAATGTGTAAGATCATTAAAGTAAATTAAAAACAGTAGAGGACCTAGGATAGAACCTTGTGGTACACCATGTGTTAAACTTGGATGAATATATATTGAGATCTATTACAAAGATTACTTTCAAACCAAGATGACAGACAAATTGGAGTGTTGTTCTAGTTTCCAAGTGGTAAGTCATCACACCGATTACTGAGCTAGGAGACATTGCCAGGCATAGTGCCAGGTGGAGGGGCATAAATCGAAACTTTAAAAAAAAAAAAAAAAAAAAAAAAAAAAAAAAAATATTAAAAAAAAAAAAAAAATTATAAAAAAAAAAAAAAAAAAAAAAAAAAAAAAAAACGGGAAAACGAAACCGTCCAATTGAAAACGGAATCCGCCATGGGCGGTCGGATACCGGACGGTTAAACGTTTGACTACAGCACTAGTTGTAATTTTCAATCGATTTTGATCAAAACTGCATAAAATAAGCTTTGAAATAATGTATTGCATGTGGTGTTTGCTTGGTTAATAGGCCCTCACAATAGTCAATAAAACAATTGAATATCCTTTGTTTCCTATTGAATATTGTGGAGTTTATTGACCTGTTTCTATAAATTGGCCTTGGCGACTTCACAACCAGTTTGTCAAGTACTGTCACAAAAGTGATCTGTATATGTGTAATTCCGTTACCGGCAAATGGGCAATAATATATGTAGTTTGTCATACTTTGTGTGATGTTCCTACTTGCAAACTAAACCAAATTAAAATTAGTTGTAAACTAGTATATGATAACACATATTGACATAAATTTAATCACTACACACCGATATTTGCTCAGAAATGTCATATTTACTTGCCATTTGACAATATAAAAGACGCGTTTTCCAACAGTTTTTAGAAAGTAAGTACACATATGAATTGCTTTGTAGTTAAAATCAATTATTGCAACCCCTGAAACAATTAAACAACAATTTAAGCCTACATAATGTTTACAAAATCACCTTTTTTCAAGCTTATTTCAGAAGACGTAATTCCGTTACCATTTATGTAATTCCGTTACCGCTACCTTCTTTCATAAAACCATCCAGCATAGATAAACCATGACAACTTCACCCAAACAAATCTTGCCATGGGACAGTCAACAATATTTGCTCCCTTTATTAGCATTACTTCACCCCCACTTGGCTATAAATTTCAGACGAAATCTTTTCAAAGTTCGTGTAAAAAATAACCTGATTTTTCTGCCGTAATTCCGTTACCGACACACTTTTGGTCCTGGGGTGTTCCGAATGTTGAAAAATAATTTTTTTAATTTTGATTTGCTAACAGGTGCATAATACAGAAAGAATAAAAAGATAAATAATCACCTAGGTCTAACCACCTGTCTACAGTATATAAAAATAGAGCCCAAATTTCTCTGAAATGTAATTCCGTTACCGTGGAATTGCCCTTATGTTTAGCACTTTGAGGGCTACGTATAACACTTTTGGGGCGATCATTATAGTTACTGCACTTGCAGTGCTTTCTTAAACTCCAGTGCAGGTGCTAGTATACCTATACGCATCCAAAAAATGCTACTAATTTTGCACTAAGCCTCTAATGAGATTCATATATACATGTACAACTCTTTTTTTATCATGATTAAAACTGGTTTGTAAATCATAAGAGGTAGTAAATTAACAATTACAAACTCACTGACCAATTTCTTGATATTTTTTCTTTTTGTTTATGGACCTAGTGTATATTTAAGACGCCTACCGAGACTGAATTGGTTTTAAGTAGACAAAAACCGGAAAAATTGGATTTCCTCAAACAGTATGCAAATAATATGCAAAATTGCCATAGCTCTTCAGGTTCTAATTCGTGGTCTCATTGGTTCCCTTGGCTCAGCACTTGTTCTAGAACCCGTTTCTCCAAAATCACGATAGCTTTTTTCAGAAACTGAACTTACGGTGCTAAAATTTAGCACAAGTGCAACTCTTTACGCAGCACCTGTTTTTTAGCCCTTCATTTTTTTGGTTTCAAGTGTAGGAATTTGAAATACAATAAAAGGTCTTGGCATTAATTATTAATGACAACGGGTACTGTTTATGTAATTCAAGGTTAACAATTAATAAGTATTCATTAACATGTTTTGTGATTCATATCATATACCAGAGAAATTATTATCGATAAAGAACAATTTCCATCAAAATTTGAAGAATAAAGAAAAGACATAATAACTACGAGTAGGTTCTGAAATGTTAGACTTTTATGGTTCATTTTCGGGAAAATCCATATATTAGAAAATGCAAAACGTATCAAGGCGTTTATCACTGCTTTTAGAATAACTCAAATCCCAACCTCTAACAAACAAAAATACAAACAACAATAATATTTCTATATAATCGATGCGTATAAAGCATTAAAATGACAGACGTAGAGACATGTCATTTATCGTATCTGTGTATGTTTGGCAAGGGCGTGAAGGGCCGGGATTTTTTTTCCCTATATAGAGTGGGTGTGAAGTTACATTAAATCTGAATGTGGGTTAAAGTTGCAATATACAGTTGGGCTGCAAGCATAATCTTTCTTCCTTTCTTTCTTAAATGTTAAAGGTAAAGACCAGTATTGGAAACGCCCCAATTTCAAAAATGAAATGGAAGCTCTCATTACCAATCATGTGAAAGAATATGTTTTGACTAATACATGATGATAAAAAATTTGCCGGGAAACCGCCTACTAATTCATATATTTGGTAAATTTGTTTCTCTTATGGTCTGTGAGAGATATAGGGTAGTCCCATATACATCTTTCTGTGTATAGTGCTTGTAACTTTACGAAGAATGGGCCAAATTCCTTATCATTTTGATGATTCCAGAACCTTGCAGATGCTAGATGATCAACCTTTTCTGATCGATTCCACAACGTTTCTTTCACAATGCAATCGCATGACCAGAACTGGTCTTTACCTTTAAGGGTACTTCTATTTAAGGTATTAGTTTAACGGAAACAGTACTCACTAGAAACTGTCTCTAATGTTTAACAGGCATCAGCACACAAAAAATGAGTTTTTACAGAGGTAGGGACGAGCGAGTGCATTATTTCTGGGGGGAAACCCGCCTCTTGACACTTCATTTAAATTTAATTTGCATTGATTTACATAAAGATAGCCAGATTCTTTGTAGAATTTTCACATTTTCAATGTCATACCTACATAATTACATTAAAATACAATAAAAATAGACAATATTTTTCAATAAACAAAATATTCTAAGGTTATTTCTTAAGCCTAATTGGAAAAATAAAATAAAGAAACAAAGCACTTCAGTTCACATCAATTACAATAATCTTTTTACCTTTCCCTCTCCCTATTCCTTTTTTTGGTTATCTTTATTTCCTTCTTGGTGCCGCATCACTATTAGAAAATCGCGTATGCCTACATTTGTCCAAAAACCAGTTAAATACCTAATCACGTCGAAGGCCTTAGGAATAGGCCTACCAAAGACTCTGAGTACCGTTATTTGCAAATAATAATAATAATGAAAATAATGATAATATTTAAACAATTTTGTAACAAGGCATAAGTAATTGAATAATATAATTATCATAATTATGAAGATTATTCTCATGAAAAGGCAAGATATTATGACGTATCATTCAATTACTCATGCCTTACGGTAGGAACTATACTCACAAAAATTGTCTAATTCCCAATTTACCAGCACCCATAAAATAAGGAAAATATTCGTATGACCCATGTGAAATCGAAATGTTCTTTGGTATACCATGTAGGCCTACCTTTGACCTCATGAGGAATGTATGTTTTCTCCTCAAAACATTCAATTCCTATGTTGTGAATAGTAAAAGTATCTGATAAATATGCTAATCCCAATTTTCAAATTATCAAACATTATCAAATATCTTAACACTTCCATACAAAAGTGACAATCTAGTTATCACAATAAGATAAGATTTGTTTTAAATATAAAAGACCGCCTTGCTGCCCGAACATAGGTTATGAATTATTTATGGCTGCCTAAATATTGGTCATGGTAGTACTTTAAAATGAACCGGCCAAAATAACCCCCTGCCCCCCCCCCCCCCCCCCCCCCCCCCCCCCCCCTTGGCGGCCTCGTACGTCTATGGTGTATATGCAAATGAGTAATTCATTCATTTGTTTGTTATAAATAGATGCAGCAAGGCAATGTCAATAATAATATAGCCCTAAATAGTTATGATTAATTGCATCCCTCTAAAATAAATCGTCCGTTCCTTCAATCAAATTTATATAATCTTTGAAGGGCTTCCATGCATGGTGAGGATAGATAAATCATACATGCATATAGATTTGCGGTATGTACGCGCGGTAACACCACGTATTCTTTCCTTTCCTCTTTAGGACGATGGTACAACCTTTCGAAACATCAAGATATGAGTCAGTGGCCATTTTCAGGGCCAACTTCACCCGTCGAAAGAATGTGGTGTAACCGCATGCCTTGCTCAAATTTAATTTAATGTTACCAAGGTTTAAACGCAGATACAACAATGCTTGATAAAATACAATCAATAAGCTGCAGGATTTAATTAACATACAGTAGTGTTTTACGATTGAAAGCAAGTCGATTTGGGGGTACAGTACGGGGGTACAGTGAATGCTTTTCCGGTGGTTTTCTTCATGTTCCAAGGTCTGTGGATGGACATGTAGTCATGACCTACAGCATATGTAAGCTCTCTCTATACATTTAATTAAGCCGTAATGATACTGCGCGTGCACTTGTAACTTACCAGTCAGCATTCCCGATGAACATTCCTCTTTGTGTAGTGTACGTAGCTATATACCAGTGGCATAACGATTGACACCTCCACTAAAACGCAAAAATGCTTTCACTCCAGGAATAACCAATGGAAGAAGAAGATTTTCCATAGGCCCGTCACATTCAACGACTGAAATAAAACACTGTTGATTTTTTTTTTTTTTTTTTTTGGGCTGTCGCAGTTTTCTTCTGGCGAACACATCACCTGATGCCAAAGCGCGCGCATGTATACATGCACCACTATGTATACTGCCAAATCGGGGTTTTCCAGCAGTTGGGTTTTCCCAGTGCATATATTAAGTATTGTTTGGCAAATCACATAGTCTAGTATCATGGACCTTTTTTCTTCTTCAGTTTCCCTTTAGTACTCGTTCTCGCCCCCCCCCCCCCCCCTCCCTCTCTCTGTCTCCCTCTCTATCACTCCTCTCCCTCTCTCTCTCTCTCTCTCTCGTTTGAATGCCCTCGGATACGCCACTTGACAAGACCACGGATTCTCCTATATTTATTTTAATTAAATGATTTCCTTTAATGAAAATGCCGAGTTTGTTGACTACTATACATCTAAATATGCCATTCAGTTAAACTATCAGAACAAGGATCTTGGGAAACTCAAGATAATTTATACAAATACAAGTTCATAAAGTGGCTGCCTATATAGCCCCATTTTATTCACAAAATTAATGGAATCGATGTTGTAAGTGAAGCTATATATTTCCATCTCCCGAATACCGAATGATCAATAAAAGACTTCATAAGACCATTTAAGTACTGAACTTTTTTTTGCGGCATTACTATATTGGCGAGTATATCATGCTCGGACTGAGTGGCTTCATGCGCTCAATACTGAGACTACGATTTATGACGTAATGGGGATTCCCCGCCGCCTTAAAATACGTTAGGCGCGCGCCTGACCTGACTCCGTTTATGGATCCTCCCACCCCCAGTACAGGCTAATATGCTTGAATAACAAGACAAACACATTGAACTGATGCATGGTCCTCGATCCCTTACATTTCAATGACGGTGCTAATAATGTTAGAAGGCATGAGACTGTTATGATTTATACAGGGTTTCGCCTTGCAGAACTTGAAGATAAGCTTCAAGTTCTGGTAAATATAGTAATTAAATTCTCATATAATCCAATGAAACTTACAATGAATGTTCAAGATTACTAATAAATGACATGAGCCAAATAATGTTGCTAGAAAATGTATAGTCGCTGAGTAATGAGCATAGAACATGAGCAAGGAAATCCGGTTATAAGTAGGTCACTATGTTCAAATGGGAGTTGTGGGTTTTGTATCGAAGATGATGCATGCTCAATAAGTTTTTCAGCGTTTGTTTTTATTTACTGCAGGATATTAAAACAATCCAAAATAAATCATAGCAATTTTCTCTCGAAATACGATTCCCATATCAGAGCTCAGGCTTTAGCTCATATTAAAAAGGGTCCATATAATGATATAGGCCCATAACTTCATATCAAGCCAAATGATGGATCCAAAAAAAAATCTTAATCCACACGATTAATTAATATTGGCAATCATTTCAGATTATCGAACAGTTTTCCTATGAAAATTGTTTTAAGCCAAGCTATATATGGAGAAGAGTTCTTGTCATATATTGGCAATTATTTCAGATTATGGAACAGTTTTCCTACAAGAAAAATGTAAAGCCGAGCTATATAATAATTATGGAGACAAGAGTTTTTATCACAAAAACTAGGCCTATATGCATGAGTAATTCCACGCAATGGACAAAAACCACAACAAAAAACATTATCTCACTCTGTATGACTATAACATCAGTGTACATCGACAACACAAGTCATATTCAGTACAGGCACTACAGACTAGACTCTCCGCGAGCGGTTTCATTGGAATTAATCGAGCTTTTCCCCTCGCTGCCGTGTAAATAAAAAAATACGCATCCCAGGCCGAGGGAGGGGGACTCACATATTAGGACATGCGGGGGTGTGCCGCTCTAATGGATCACTTTTCACACAAAAATCTATAAACAAGGGTCCCACTTTTAACAAAAATACTATTTGCAAAATTTGCAAAACACCTAAAAATTGTTTTAAAAAATGGGTCTTTTTTCGAGAAAAATGCCCCGGAAATGACCACTGATAATGGGTAGGGGTTTCAAGGCTTGAGTAGCCTTTTGACAAGGCCTCGTGACTCTGGCTAAGCGGCTGAGATGAGTCTAGATACCCGGAGTGAACGCGCGACCGAGTGACGAGAACTTGGAAGGGCTTCTTGCTCCTTGTTGCCACTGATCTGCTTCTTGCTCTCTCGTTCACTCAGGTTTTCGCGATTAGTCTCGTTTTAGTCGCTCGGCGTCTATCAGACAAGTGGCCTTGTTTAAAGGCTAAGGCTTGAGCGGCTAAGGCTTGCGCGTTGTTGTTGTTGTTGTTGTTGTTGTTGTTGTTTTAATTTATATGAAAAACGCCTATAAATTAAAACAACAACAACAACAACAACGCGCATATTTTTTTTACACAACAGACTGTTTAGCCATTTTCGCGAAAAAAATCAAAGAAGTGCTCTGGTGATAGAGTCTAAGTCGTCAGCGTACTGCAAGCACATACACCCTGAGAAAGGAATAGGTGATAGAAAGGGGAAAACAAGGATAGTTGAGAGGATGGAGAAGGAAAAACAGGGAAATACATAAGAAAAGAGAAGAGAATAAGTCAAAGGAAGAACATAGAAATACATAATTGAAGAGCTAAGAGGATCATAGATCTAGACTAAGGAAAAACAGGGAAAAACATAAAGAAGGAGAAAAGGAATCTATCATGCAGATTAAAACAAAGAAATAGATGACGAAGGAAAAAGGATAGATTGAAGGAGAAACAAAGAAATAAAACAAAAGAGAAGAGGATAGATTGAAGGAGAACTCAGAAATACATAATGAAAGAGAAGAGAGGATAGATTTAACCCGCATAACGAGTATCATACACATGCATGTACAGCTCCAGCAATCCAACAAAACACTTCTTCTTCTTGTTGATTTGTTTTTGTTTGGAAATCAGTCACAGTTGACTATTTTTGCCACACACTATTTTATGAATTATTTATATATATACGTATGTACAATTTCATGTCATAAATGACTATTTTTAGGATTCTTTCTCTTTCTAAGGGTAATGCTAGACTCTGTCTCTAGTCGTTTGCACAGTATATTTGACTGAAGTGGCTAAACAGTTGTGTAAAAAAAAAATATGCGCGAGCGGCACAGCGTCGATATTTTTTCCCCTCCTTTTTGTTTTGCTTCCATTTAAAATTATTTAAAATTATTAAAAAACTTGAATTCGGCGTAAATATTCATAATTGAATGACACACGCCCTTAAAACTAGTACTTTAAACAGGTCCAAACCCCCCGTCCAAAGGAGAAGAAACAGAAAAAGCTGGTAAAATAAACATTGTATCGATTCCCCCCCCCCCCCTTCCTGAAAATTGAGAACTGAGAACGGTTTTATATTATTTAAATTTTGTGCCAAAAATAAATGAAAATAGTTTTTAAATCTGATAAATTAGTACGATATAAAGGTCAATAAAGGCGATAAGGGTTATTAAAATATTTAAATAAAAAAGAAATCAATTCATTACCTTTTGGCATACCATAAACAAATTGCGTTGGTTAGTACAGTTAGCGTAGAGGCTACCGTACATCTACATCCATTGACAGGATTTGGTGAGTCATCTTGAAATGTGTTGCCTTATCTTATGTACAGTTAACTTTATAATCATTCTGTCATAGTAATTTTAGTGTATCATGGCTTGTTTTCTTTCATATAAACGTAATTTTACCTAAGCGTCCAGCGGTTGGTAACGTAACGGCTGGTGACTACTCTCTAGCTCTGAACACAGTCGACAATGCAATGCCAGTGCCTGTACCGTACCACTGACCTCTACACATGGACGGATCATCGCGCATTCCCGCCCGTGCTAACGCTTGAAGTGGGCTCGCACGCGCGGCGGCCATTTTACACTTCCAAGAGCGATACGGCTCACTATACGTTACGTACTAAAATGCTGTATTAGTGACCGTTTATACACCATTTTTCTGGCATTACCTGGAATCGCTTCAGTTTTTATTATTATAGGAGGCCTTAGAAGTTAAATCAAGCCCCTTGTTTTATTATTCTCTAGAAAGAAAACATACAAATGCATAATTATACGTACAAGATGCAAGTTGAAGTTCCTCCTAACACTTTTCTCAAACTCCTCGAAGGCTATCCCGTTTCCTCTCCCTCCCTCTCATCTCTCTCTCTCTCTCTCTCTCTCTCTCGATATTAATGTTCATTTTACTTTAATATTGTCAGCCAATTATTTTTGAATATATTGTACCCTCGTCTTCTCTTTGTAAGTTTTAGTGCATTGCAATCCTCCTCATTTCTCTCTCTTTTTAACTGTTTCTCTCTAACTGCTTTCTCACTAGTGTATCTTTTTATTATCTCTCTCTCCTCATTCTAACTGCTCTCTCTCTCTCTCTCTCTCGCTCTCTCATTCTATATTTGTATGTCTTGGCAACAGCTCATTCTCTCTGTAACTATACTCTATTATCCGTTCTTCTATCTGCTCTCTGTCTTTCTAACTTTCTTTCTATGTACGTAATATCATCATGACATCTAGACATGCATCTGTTCAAAAAATTGTCTTTCTACTAGTAGTAGTATATATATAGGGCCTATAACAGGTGACCCGTGAAGGAATGTAGGAAATTCAGATACTTCCACAGTTCTAAAAGAATAAAGACTACTACTACTAGAGTAAACCGATGGTGAGAGTCTGAAAACAATTCAGAGAAAATAAAATCAAATGCAACAAAGTTAAACTTAAAGTAAACAGCTCAATGCTGCTCTAATTTTGTTAATACTAATTACTTATTGTATTTGTATGCATAAACGTCAATAGAGTCACTCATACTGCTGTAGAATGACGTTAAATGGGGTACATCCATGGGTGTCGATCTGTAACTGATACCTATTCATCAGGGGGGGGGGGGATGATCTATTCATTCATCCCCCCCTGATGAAGAGGTATTTCGTAAGGATCGACACTCATGGGTACATCTATGATAAATATACAAATAATACCCTTTTCAAGTAAGGCACTCGTTGTTAACTTTAGTTTAAGACGTTATCGTGACTGTCAATTTCAAGTTACAATTAACAAGATAATATAATTAATTATGACTAGTAGACTAAACGTTAGAAATTGAATCTACTTAGTCTAGTCAAAATCTACTCCAAAAAATTACATAGCATGGCATGGGATTGCTATAGATTTTAGTGTAGACTATCAGCAATTGAAATGATCAGAACCGGGGATCAGAATCAGATTGAATTGCATTTCCATTGACATTATGCCATACGGGAAACGTACATGAAATACAGCACGTGGGAATACACAGAGCGCTAGACGCTAACTACTTCCAACTTCCAACCTGCTTTTAAAATACATAGAAAACATAGTTGAACTTTCGAATGTAATGTCCGTCAACATTCTTTACAATACTGGTTTGAGCAATTAATTGCAGCATAATGTAGGCATTTTCCACGATTACATTCCTCAAAACAAAGTTCAGAAACAGAACCTGCAGTCGAATTGTACACAAATCTGTATTCCAACCCTCTCGCACGCCGATTTTTCGGAAGTGCAACATGGCGGACCCACGCAGTCAGTTCTGTGAGCCAATGAAATGTCCAGGTGTAGAGGTCAGTGTACCGTACAGTGCAGTGCCAGTAGGGCGCTTTAGCAACGAGACGGAAAGCACAGGAGACGGAGTGTTTAACCAACTGTGACGGGTCTCACACTCTTGTTACCGTCGTAATATTTATGCGCTTTCGCTGTCTGCTAAAGGCGACGGGGAAGCAAAGTCCGTATCCAATTCCCGCGCTGAACTGCACGCCTGCTGCCTGTTGGTGCTAGTGCTCTGGGGCCTTGAGGCTTGGCCGGAGCGCCAGGGCAATAGACCCGGCGGTGAGCTGTAGTGCACAGCGTGCAGGCACGTCATGCATACCGATGAAAAAGGGCCCCCAAAGTAGGCTTCAACGGCCAAACCATCAATTTATTGTAGATTGAGGTATAGATACCGAACAGACATTGGAAACACTAGTAGATTCCCTGTTTTTATCTTCAGTAGTCATGGTAGTGCCCTGCATTGTTAGATCTAGATACAGATTATTTGTCAGCTCTCTCTCTTATGTCGTGTTTAGGGAACGAACGCTATGTTGGCCGAGTACCGTTCCGAAAATCGACGGGACGGAGAGATTTCAGGTTTGCGCATGCGCAGTTTGTTTTTTTCGCTCGCGTTACCGTCTCCTGTGCGTACCGTCTCGATGCTAAAGTGCCCTAGTGGCAGTGCACGCACGGATTCTGCAGCTGCAGCTGCAGTCAGTCCATGGGTGTCTGGTCAGGTCGCCTCCTATACACAGTCGCCCCTAAATTGTGTGGTCGGGTCACCTTCTATACATAGTCGCCCCCCTACGTACAAAGGGAGTGCCATTACGATATAATAATAATGTCTTGTTTACCCAGGGTAGCCTCATACTGTTCTCCTAATTCCGGGAAGCTCCAACACCGGCACCAGTGTTGGAGCTTCCAGCCTGCGGCGCCGATGTTGGAGCTTCCCGGAGTTAACTGTTCTCCCTGAGCCTGAGGGCCCTGCAATTATTATCACCCCGGTCATCGGATTCAGGCTTACTCACACACAATGTATGCACAGTTTCCACTTCCTGGGGAGCATTCCAGCCAGTGCATCAGTTTTACAAGCGCACACTTGCTAATCTAATTTACTTCTACCCATTTAACACCTGGGTGGAGAGTGGTAAATGTAGATCAATGTCTTTCCAAAGGACATAGTGCCACGGTGGGACTTGAACAGCGGACCTTGTGATCCACAGTCCAGTGACATATCCACTCGTCCACGACACCTAGCAGTAGCACAGCAGAACGCCGGGGAGCAGCGATTCATCGCAAGCGGTCAGAATCATCGGTCCTATTTGTCATTACATTTATCTAATTTTAATTTTAGACTGTAGGCCTACACCTTGAAAACCAAAGGCAAAGCTTCTGGGAGAAAGCCGTCTCCAGCTGCCAAGCTTCCAGCCAGGTCTAACTTCAAGGGGGGGGGGGGATGTCCCAGCTTCTGGGTCTTGCACCATGGTCATTTTACTTCTGTATTTTGCTGGGTCATATCTGGATTGTAATAATTGGATCGTCGACTGCTGATTAAAATGAGTAGCTATGACGCTAGCTAGGGGAACTTTCGGGTGTAGAAAGTGCCGTAGCCATGCGGCGAGCATGGCACTCTCTACAGGCTTTCATCGAAAGGGTGCGGTGCGGTGCGGCGCGGTGTGGCCAAGTGCACCTCAAGTTGAAATATGATTTAAAAAGTAAAAATAAAAGATTAAAAAATAAACTGTTTGAATATATATAATATATCAACGTCATAAGTCAAAAGAGTAAAGTTATGCCAATGCCAATGCAAACAAAAGGATTATATCCCTGAAGCAACTTTTCCAAGCTACACTGGAATAGGGACGTGTTGACTGTTGTGACGGCAGGTGAAGGAGCATAACCATGATAACAGAAACTTAGAAAGATGTAAAAAATCTTGTTAAAAGGTGATGACCGTGATCGATGCGCGATGTGCAAGTAAAATTAAATCATGCTCCTGGGAGTCCTGGCTATGCTATATAGTTTACAGCTAGCCTTCTGGAACCTACTGTAGTATAGGAGGTTCCAAGTTCCAACCCTCTGAATCTGATGACAGGAAGGGCGGCCTCCTGGAAAGCAGCAACTGTTGGGGGCTTGGGGCAGTAATAACTGCAGTGGCTGGAAGTTGATTCCAGATGCGATGCGAGTGGTCTGGGCAGGGAAGAAAATGAGAACTTGTACAAGTCTATTTATTGCAGGGCTGCAGGCTGTCAACCCTACCGCATTTGGAGGGAGTCTCACTATGAAAAAGCTGTAATAAGACGTGTTTAATTGTAACTTTCTGTAATTTGGACAATATTTTCTTATATTTTTCAGAGCTTTCTTGTATCGATAGACATCTACTCTGTGTAATGATGGGTGACAAAGATTCATCAGGTGAGTGCTTTATCTTGGGGAACGTGTAGCTCTATTTCTATAAAATACATTTTTATACTTTTAACAGAAAGAATATGAGCATGAAACTAGCAAAGTTTTTATACACTTGTAACTTTAATTTTTTTTTTGTTCTTTTCAATGTGCATTCTTTTCTTTGTATTGGAAGTCTTAAACCTCCTCAACGCAAATTTCAAAATCATTTCAGAATATCTTAATGTCATTTCTTTGTGATGAGTAAGGATGGTAAAAATCAAACCACAAAAACAAATGAGAGGACTACCTCTCATTCTTTTTAAATAGAATGAGATGGAGTCTTTTTTTTCTACCCCAATATAAGCTTGCATATAAAATTGTGTAATCAGTTTGAGCGCTTACAGGAAATGTAGAAGTAGCCAATAGTCATCTCGACTTCTTTGCCTATAAACAGACTCTGAAACAGGAACTCCAGGCATAAATGATCAGATCTGACTGAAAGAAACGCATCTCTAAAAAGCCAATTACACACACACCCACATGAAAACATTGCCCCCCCCCCCCCCCCCCCCCCCCATGTTCAAATTTAGAATGGGGGGGGGGGTCCATATTTAGATTTTTAGCAGTCATGTGTCATGGGCACTCCACAGGATGGCACAGGTTTGTATTTAGTCCAGTCTAACTTCTAAAACTTTTTTTTTTCAAATTTTGTGCTTTTTTTTGGGGGGGGGGGTTGGTCATGATAATCAGTCGGTAGAGCAGTGGTCTCGTAATCCGGTGACCCGGGTTCAAAACCAAAGCGATGCGCTAGTGCCCTTTGGTAAGGCATTAATCCTCATAAACCAGGCCCCTCAGAGATGACCTAAAGCCGTCGGCCGTCTGGTTGCTTACTAACAAGCATTTATGCTTTCTTAGCAGTCAGGTAAAATAACCACCACCACATAATCGTGGATTGTTTTTTGTGAATCTTGTTGCACCATGTAGATGAGGAGGACGTGTTTGAGTGTGGGAGGTGCAAGGAAAAGTTCACCGAAATTGCCAACTTCATGCACCATAAAAGAGATAAGAGCTGCAACAAGGCTAAGAAACAGAAGGAAATGACCCCTAAGGATACAGCCCAGGAACTAGGTGAGCCTAAGTGCATACAGTAGTTGCATACTGAATTTGTTTTCATTATGTATAACATTAATTATGAGGGCTAATTGGATTAAGTCAACTAACTCAACTTTTTACTGCACATTATTTATCCTAGCTCAGTAAAATGTTTGTTCAGCCGTATTCAGACCGTGTTGCTCTTTGCAATAGATTAAAGATAAACTCCAGTTCTGGTAAAAAAAAGAAAATTAATTCTCACAGAATCAAACGAAACTTACACTGAACGTTCAAGATTACAAATAAATGACATGTGCCAAACAATTTCGTAAGAAAATGTATACTGGCTGAGTAATGAGCATAGAAAGACAAGGAAATCAAGGTAGTACTAGCCCCGACACCATGTGTGTTGTCCCATATATAGCTTTCTGTGTACAGTGCTTGTTACTTTACCGAGACTCGGCAAAATTTATTATGATTTTGATGACTCCAGAACCTTGCAGTGCACACAAATACTTACATGCTACATGATCAACTGTTTCTGATCCATTCCACACCTTTTCTTTCGAAATGCAATCGCATTACCAGAACTCACCTTTATCTTTAAATTGATGAATAGTTATTTAATTTCACTTTTAAGATACTGATTTTAATCTTCCACAAATAATGTCTCTACATGTCATGTATCTCTCCTAGAATAATCATGTAAAATTCAAAGCTGTAGTAATTATTGAGTGTTTTTAAGAACCCATTGTAATGCTTCCTTCTATTCCAAATTTTGTTCTTTCTTCTATTCCAATCTTGACCCTTCAGGTGATGTTCTGAACAGGATCCTGAACAGCACTACAGATCCTCATGTGATATCTCCCATGACAGAACAAGGAGTGGCCAACACCACCGTGCCCAGTGTCTCTCCGACCATCAGTGACTTGTTCACGACCAAGGCAGGGGACAAGGAGATTGATCCCGGACACATCGGCCTGGACATCTTGAGTTCACTGGAACATACCAGCAAGCAGGAGCAAGTGTCCACAAGCGCTACCTGCATCCCGTGGTTCCCGGACCAGCAGATCCTGGACAACCACTTGCAGGAAAAGCATGCCATTGAAGCAAGCCCACTAGATCAAGTTGAGCTTGAAGAAGAGGCAGAATCAAAAGCGAATGTTGACGGGAAGCCTCAACTGGCCAGCCCAGATGCACCCACTGATTTGCCAGTTGAGAAGTCCACAAGGAGGACACGTCCACAACATTCATGCAGTGTGTGTAACTTGAAGTTCCTCAGTAGATTCAAGCTTGAGCAACATAATGCTGGGAGGAAGCATCGTAACGTGATCAAGAAACTGAAAACAGATTCAGGAAAGGCTGATGTTCCGAAGCGTCGACCCGGTCGCCCATCTAAGAAAGGAGAGTGTCCTTTTTGTGGTGTTTCCACAAATTCTGTCAAGGATTTACAAAAGCATTTAAAAGAGCAGCACAGGGGTTCATTTGCCAAGGAAAATGGTGGTAAAAGAGCTCAATCTGATAAAGCAAAAAACCTTTGCAGGGAATGTGGGGCCTTGGTTCCTACAAGATCGCTCAAGAGACACGAGAGAAGATGTGCCAATAGAAAACGGTTTGAATGTCCATTGTGCCGACACCAGTCTAGGGAAAGAACCGATTACAAATCTCACATTGAAAACCATAAAGTATGGATTGAAGTTGATAAATCTACAGTGCCGTGTGATGGCCAGACTGCCGATACCAGTTCCCGAAAGGAAGATAACCAGGTATCCAACAATGAAGAAGAGAAGATGGCTGATGTAAGCGATGATGCTGATAAAGAAGAAGGTGTGATTTTATCCGCATCTGATTTAGCTGTCTTGGGTCTTATGCCAAAACCCAAGTTTTCAACCGTGCAGGAATGTCTAGATGCAATCGCATCAGGGTTGAAAGGAACCTACGATGAACAAATGGGTTCAGATAAAGAATTGCAGAGTGAGAATGAAGTGATCTCTGACAATCAAGGTAATGGTGCCGAGTCAAGCTCTGTGAAGTTGAACTCTAAGCAGCTGAAATGTAAAGCGTGTAAGAAGTGGTTCCTACGTAGGAGCCTTACCAATCACATGTATGATGCACACGGTATGACTAAACAGTTTCAGTGTCGCGATGTAGATTGCCTTCAACCCTTTACCGACATGGAAAGCTTTACGACGCATGTCGCATCTCACTCTGAGAAGCTGATGTTTCACTGCGGATGTCGCCTGTGCCTCCCGAATAAGACCGATGTGGAAGAGGAGTACGCGGATGAGATGAGAAAGTGGAAGATGAGGAAGTACTATGCCCAGTTGTCTTTCAAGTGCAAGCTGTGCTGGATGAGGTTTCCGACGGAGAGCAGGTTGATCAAACACCAGCAGTCTGATTCTCACAACCACATGTGTGATGAATGCGGGAAGGCGATGGTCAGCAAGCGCCAGCTAAGACTGCACAAAGAATGCCATCAGGACCAGAGGGGCTACCTTTGTGACATGTGCGGCAGTGGGTTCAAGACGGACAGAGATCTCAAGAGACACATTGCTTCACATGGCTCAGAGAAACCCTTTGCCTGCAACGAGTGCGGTAAGGCTTTTCTCTTCAAGAACAAATTAACAAGGCACGTTAACACAGTCCACGCCACTCACAAACCTTTTGCCTGTAACTACGAGGGCTGCAGAAAGTCGTTTGCGAGGAAAGACAAACTAGCCGATCACCAGAACACACACAAATCTCCCATTCATGCATGTCAGTTCTGCTCAAAGACCTTTTATCGAAAGGATGTCCTGAGGGAGCATGAGATCCTCACCCACACCAAGGAGTTTCCTTATACCTGCAAGATGTGTAAGAAAGGGTTCCTGAGACCCAAGATTCTCTTGAATCATCAAACCAATGAGCACAACACCTCGGTCAGACCATCAACTTTGGACAAGCTTCTGAAGGCATCGGCTTCTGTCCAACAACGTGCACAGAACACACCTTTATCAGCGGCAGCCTGTCTTGCTGGCTATGTCATTTACGACCAGAACATAGCATCTGTCTTGCAGGGAACCACAGATAACGATCCTCAGTCATTGCAACTCCAACCCATGACCCTGACACCATCTGCCTCGTCTGAAGCGCCCTCTAGCGGTGACCTTTCCTACCAAATGACAGATATTACTGGCGCAGGAGGGACTAATCTCACCTATCAGGTGTCGGGAGGCAGCCTGTCTGGTGGCACAAATGCTCTTCAGGTCTCCCTTCGTCAATCATTGGCAGAGCCAGATGTTTTGATACCTCTAAGCTATAAGGATGGAAATAAAAGTGATGCCTAGATACTCATGTCATAGATTAACTTGTAAGTACATGCACTGTGGTTGATAGCCATCATAGCATTGCAGAACACGGTAAAAAAAAACATCACATCTAAGTAAAAATCTGTTAGTATTTTTCTACCAATAAAATGTAAATATTTAAGGCATTTATCACCAGGATTTTGAAAATATATCTTCTTTTGCTTCATAAGTTTTTTTTCTCAAATGGAAGTATATATACATTGTGTTTTATATTGTGCTGTTGAGAAGGAAATAAATGTTAATAAATACAAATACAAAATACAATACTATACTAGATAATTGTGAAGCACCCGGAGTGTCAAGTCTGACACACAAAAGCGCTCTACAAGAACCCACAATTACTGTGCATGCTTAGGAGTTCATTATACAATCTTATCCATACTTGAGTTGAGGATTGTTACATCTGTCATATCAGTTGATTTGATGTGAATTTGATTTTGCTTTAATTTGTTGACCAACAGCAACACAGAAATACATTTCATACAATGATATTTAGATAAAGTACAAAAAGATAAACTATTGGTAGGTACAAGTGGCACATGTGCTATTCGAGCCTAATAGATCCTATTTGTTTGATAAAATATGGACTCATTTTAAGGGCCCATGTCATATCAATGTCAAATATATTATATATCCCATGTTTAGTAGGTATACTGTAGCACACACAGAGTATACTTTAGCAAAACTTACCTCTAAACGCGTTCATATGTATTGCTCTGCACGTAATAACCTCCACACTGTTTTTCGCACTTATGTCTCCTCGTACCGCTGCGCATTGCATACGTACAGATTACATACATAGATAAATGGACAGAACAAGAAACTATCGCATGCAGTTTGATGGCAAAAAGTGGGATAGTTTCAATAAATAAATCGCACATGACTACATTCGACCAATCTCTTTGATTAGGATCTAGGAGTGAATTGTATAAAACTACATTGTGTTTAGATTGACTTCTAAATAATTTTTGTAAATATTTGAATATAAAGTCTTGTGCCCATTTTGAATTTCGAAATACTGCCAGAGGTATGGTTTCAATTTAGTTTATTTTAAAAGATTCCAAGAGCTTGGGATATTTGTAGTATAATCAAAGTTCAGTTTGATTTATAAGCATATACCATATAAAATTAGATAACTTTAAAGTTTGAATAGTACATGTGTGTATTCATTCATGAAAGATACTAGAACTACATGTTTATGTCTGATTCAAGGGCTGTTTTTCTAAATTTTCATTCAAACCGTTTGAAGGAGAACAGGAAAATGCCACATAAAATATCTCCCTCTAAATGTTACATGTACATGATGTAGGTTCAGGCGCATACGCAGGATTTTTTCAAGGGGAGGGTTTTAACATTTATAAATCGAGCCGAAAATTTCGCAACGACTCAGCCAGCCGCTGAATAGCGGGGGGGGGGGGGGGGGGGAGACACTTTTCTTTTCTTTTCTTTTTTGGTCTCGAAATTTGAAAAATTGACATTTTGCTTCCTTGGGGGGGGGGGGGGGGTAAGGTCACCTTTTTTAGGTCAGCCATGGGAAAAAATAATAGTAACCTACACAGGCGCGTACACAGGGGGGGGGGGTGGTTTTCGGGGGGTTTTCACACAGAAAATTACCAAAGGGAGGGGGGTTAACCCCCCACCCCCCCCCCCCCCCCCCCCCCCCCCGTGTACGCGCCTGTGTAGGTTACTATTATTTTTGCCCAGAGTGTGTTTACAAAACACACTCAATAAACAAAAGAAGGAAATCTTCCTTAAACATGTTTCACCAACATTAAAGATAAAGGTGAGTTCTGGTCATCCGATTGCATTGTGAAAGAAAAGGTGTGGAATGGATCAGAAAAAGTTGATCATGTAGCATGTAAGTATTGGTGTGTACTGCAAAGTTCTGGAGTCATCAAAATCATGATAAATTTGGCCCAGTCTTGGTACAGTAACAGGCACTACACAGAGAGATGTATATGGGAATACACAAATTGTGTTGGGGCTACTTTTTACCTTGATTTCCTAATCTTTCTATGCTCATTACTCAGCCAGTATACATTTTTGACCAAAATTGTTTGGCAAATGAAATTTATTTGTAATCTTGAACATTCAGTGTAAGTTGCGTTTGATTCTGTGAGAATTCATTATTTAATTTTTTTTACCAGAACTCACCTTTATCTTTAAAAGCAGGTAATGTGATTTTCCCGTCACTGTAAGGCCGTTTTCTCAAAATATCTTATATTTGGTTAAAGTTTGATGGAATTTCTTGGTGTACCTTGAATGTACATGAATATTTGTCATCATTTGCCTACCGGTAAACAAACAGCCTTTTTTTAGTGAGCAGATAAAGATAAAGCTAACCATCTCAGAATACATTACTATGAGGATTGTCCTATTTATTTTGGAGAAGTGTCTTTGATTTATCATAAGAGAGGAGAGATACATGTATCTTTGTTTCTTTTCTTAATACTTTATTATTGTTAGATTCTTTGCCGTGAACATGAAATTTTGCTGGACATGTGCAATTCTGGTTGATGGTGATGTGTTGTTTTTTTTGCCATTGCATTTTCTTTTAGAATTGTTAGCATTTTCATTTCATGGTTATGCATTAAAGTTATATCTGCAAAAGTATACTTGGTGTATGATCTCATATTCATAACGTTGATGATTAAGCAATTTTTTCCATGTCATGGTTATGCAAGACAGTTACATACTTAAGTCAAATCTGTTGAGACCACACAAAATAGTTAACTTATGCAAAATTCTACTTTGGAAGTGGAAATAACACGTTTTGAATAGTTTGGTGAGAAAAAATTATTATATTTGTGGGAAAATTTGATTTGTCCTACTTTGATGTATGCAAAAATGGCATGCTGAAATATCTAATGATCAGAATCCAAGTATTATACAAGAGAACAAAGGGAAATGCATGTTATTGAAAGTGGTGATAAATTGAGCACATTGATACTCAAGAAGATGGATAACAGGAATAATAATGCAAATGACAAAATTAGAATATTGATGTGATGTGAGGGTGGTCATTTATGGAGGTGTTGCGACTGTGATGGTGATGAATGGGGTTATGATGATGACGATTGTGGTTATTGGTTACCTTTATTCAATTGTAATTCCTTCATATCTTTGTCTCATCTTTCATTTTAAGCCCATCATTTTTCTTACGGGTTCCATTATATTTTCATTCTTTACCAATGCTGTATACATGTATTTTGTTCACCCTCTGACCCTCGTTCTCCCTCTCCCCTCTCTCTCTCTCTCTCTCTTTATCTTTCTCTCTCTTCTCTTCTCTCCCTTTCTTTTTTGCTGTTGCAATTTCTTTTCTTTTGAAATTGATAGCATTTTCCCTTTCTTTCTCTCCCTCCCTTTCTTCTTCTCCCTCTTCTATATCTCTCCCTTCACCTCAATCCCTCATCTCTGTCTATATAGAAGGTAGGACAACTGGCTGACATATCTAACTTTAGCTCCTACTTCAGGTATATTTATATAATATTGACTGACCTTGAGGGATATACGACATATATTGCCCAAACTAGACTCGTATTGCCCCGAGTCGAAGACGAGGGCAGTATATGTGGTATCTCCCAAAAGTTGAGCAAGTCAATATTTTTATTGTTATCCAAATCAGACATCTAGAGCAAATACATAAATCAACCATGACAATCTCAAAGAACTGAACTGAAGTGTGCCTTTGGTGTGATTATTACGTCACAATAGAGTGAGCGCAAAGTGTGCAGGTTCTTGTACGCATAATAGATGCGCAATGAAAATGATAAAAAAACGGCGCGGTCAATACAAGACTACATTTTCACTCGTCTCTACACGCAAAGTCTATACGGGCAGGGAGACCAAGGAAAATACAAAGAATATACCCTTCCGTTCCCACTGCTAATGAAAACTAGGGCAATACGGTTTTGTAAATGACCAGCTCAGATGTCTGATACGGGTAATAATCGGGTATATTTTCTTGCCCGGACACAAAACTACAAAGACATGAATTATTTGTTGTTAACATTTTATACACAATACATTATATACATGTACTAGAAAGACATGTAAATGAGAAAATAATCAATCCCATCACACACAATAAATACATATAGTCTCTAATCAAAATGGATAAAATTTAATGAATTCCAAACGTATGCTTCCTTTCTGCTTTTCTCTGCTTGAAAAATGACTCCCCCCTTATCAAATACATGTATGTATCAAGTCTTTTTTTAAACATGCTATACATGTACTTCCTCACCATTGGAAATGCATCTTACATGAAAATATAATTATCTCTAAGATGTGGAGCTGTAGTGGTATAGGGGTCCATTCATTTGACTCTAAAATGATGACTGGGGTAATAATATCTTTTAAGAGCTTGGAGACGGTATTCCTTATTAAGCGCTATATAAATCCAGATTATTATTATTATCATTATGAATAGTCTAGCAATGCCCTACACATGCAGATTAAATCCAAGTCTTGTGGACAGAATATACTAGCTAAGAAAAGAGAATAGCATGTCTTTGATATAATTTCTTGGTCTGGTGACTGAAACTCATTCCTTGGAGACTTCTAGATGGACTTCTCTGATCTCCAGTTCTCCCGACTGAGATATGGCGATGGTCTGGCCATTCGTTAGATGAATCTCATTACCGTTTCCAGCCTGGGCTATTACCTGGATGAAGAAAAAAAGGATAAAAGGCTTTCAGATAAAAAGTAACATGAAATGGTTATACAAATCTCTGTCTATCTGTCTGTCTTTCTCTCTCTCTCTCTCTCTCTCTCTCTATTTTTCTTTCCACATCATTACAGTTCTTTTCTCTAAATCTAGGGAGGATCCATGATTCTGTTTATTTTTAAACGGAGATGGGAGCCACAATAACAGAAATTTTCTAAGAAGCAAAAACAAGAATACACACACACACAAACAAAATCACATTTTTATTTGCTAATTAATGAAAACATCTTTGATTTTTTTTCTTTGTTTTACATATCTACATTTCTTCACTTTATAGAAAGTATATATTGGCCTTCAATCTTCCATAAACTAGTGTATGAAGTTATAAGCCACGTTTAACCCCTTGCCTACAGGAACTGAGTACTCCCTGTAATATACCTATGCGAATGAGAGCATTCGGTAGTGAAGAGGTGACTTTAGGCCATTTCCACGACAATACTGGGGGATGTTTCACAAAGACTAAGATCGACTTTAAGTTGGACATAACTATGACAGGCTGTTTATGCCACTGTTTGCTCTCACTATTATGATCTTCAGATCATAAAAAAAAGTAAATTCTGTAGATTTGTGACCATGATTTTTACATCCATTGACAGACCAATGCCAGTAAATGGTCAGAGCAAACAGTGGCATGAATGGCCATAGCTAAGTCCAACTTAAAGTCGATCTTAGTCTTTGTGAAACACTCCCCAGGGACAAATTTACTCTCAGCACATCAGATGCCATGATTTCAGTAGCTTATAACAGAAGCTTGTAACTTGTTATTGATATCAAGGTTAACGAAACAGGGCCCAGCTCATACCACAGGGGGTATGGGAATACTAGTAGAGATAGGGGGCAGAAGGTTACCTCTTTGAGCTGGTCGGGTGCAATTTCACCCCCATCCTGGTTGAGGATGTGTCCTACCAAAGATGACGTGGATGAGGAGGCGGTCTCCACAGTACTGCTCCCATCAGGCTGCTCCTGGATGATAGCGATACCAGTCAAGCCTTCCGATGGTATGGTCTGTAACTCGTTGACCACCTGCTGGAGATGGTGTACAGCATGGCTGTGCTGATAAGCCTGTAGATCATGGAGCAATATACATGACAATGTTCAAAGTGTATGTATCGATTACCTAAAAAATAATTTTGTGTATAGCTAGAATGTAAAAAGTCAATCTCCATAACCATTAATGGGTACCTGACATTCTATAGCTTAACAATAAAGGAGTATGAAGAAAATAAAGGATTGAACATGATAACAATGAAACCATTGGGAGGTTATTTAAGCGGTAACATCTCTTTATGGAATAAATATTTAAAGCTCACAGTTGAAGTACTAAAATACATGTACATGAATGTATTATACACTCAAAACTATCTTGCTCCATAGCAAATAAACAGTTAAAATTCTACAAGGTTTTGTGGTCTCCATGTTTTTACATGTATATAGGCCATTCATTCAGATGTTTTAATTTTTTTGACAGGGATGTTTTATCAGGCATTGATTTCAATGCTTTAGCTGCGGTTGATAAACAAGTATGTTTTGTTCATAGATACATATTTATAACTCCATGGTATTGTCTCTAGGTAAGAGGTATGAAGAGTAATCGTGTACAATTAAAAACTTTGAGCAGCTTTGGACTTTGTTGGGATTCTGCTCATTGTCCACAAAATGTCAGTCTACTCACATACAGCATATACATGTGCTTTAATTATTACCTCTGTTGTGTATGGACTGGTCAAAGAACTTCTTTCTTTCTTAATCTGTTTGGGGTAGAGTTCCAGGCCCTTCTGTTTGCGCCTAAATGCCGTGCGGCACTTGGAATCTATATTCTGCCTGATCCGATACCAGTCTTCGTGCGTGATCCCACAGTGCTTCACAAGATGACCTGTACAGGGAAGATGTTTGCTTTGAACATGCGGTGCCTTGGAGAGTTATGCAATGCTTGATACAATTAAATCCCTTGAAATGCAAGTACAGTCAAACCTGCTTTAGCGAGCACCTGTCTACAAAGACCACATGTTTTGTTTCCCTTGAAAAATATTTCTCATTGAAACATGTACTAAAGGAACCTGTCTACAAAGACCGCTTTTTGTGTATCCCTCGGGCAATCGCTATAGACAGGTTTGACTGTATATTGAAACAAGCAGGATTTGAACCTGTTATTTACAGAAAACATGCAGTGACACCACATTACACAGCACCATAAAGCTTTTGCTTGATTATAAATATCATAAATAACAATCAGAGACATATATATCTAAGGTTAATTCTCTCTCATTTATTGATGTCACAGTGTCTGCAGCAATATGACATTCTCTCAATTTTGTGTGAGGATTCAACTACTCCTTAAGCTTTACTTTTACTTCAGACCATCTATAAAAAAGACATAAAGTTGACTGCAGCCTTTGAGTTACACTCATTCTGTTCTTCATCATTCACTCATGTCACAGGTATATCAATTGATGCTTTATACAACCTTCGCAAGTGACAAATTGGAGTTAGCCTCAATACACATTTACAAATCAAATGAGCAATTAAGAGTACAGTCATCTTCTTTTCCTTTTCAGATAAGAAGATTTCATGACTTTTCTAAGTTGGTCTACAACACTACCCTCAAGAAACATTCCTATAGTCCTTTGCTACATCAAGGTTACATGTAGGTTTAAAGTGTTTAAGGTTATCTTTTATCAGACCAGCATTGTGCAAAAAATGGGGGATAAACCTATCACACTCACAGTGAATGCCGTAGATGAGCAACGGGTCGAGCTTCTTCTTTTTATGTTTGCCAGTACCAGATAGATTGGAGACAGCCTGCATCTCTTTGTCAAACAGAAGATCCAGTAACTTGAGAGCCAGCTTATCAGCTGTCTTGTACATGTTCATTATGTGCACCATCTCCCTACAAAGAAATGAGAAAGATATCATTTGATGTTTGCCATACTTAGGTACTCTGCCCAGTGTAGTGCCTTCGAGCAATTTTTTTTAAGCACAAGTATGGAACATTTATAGCACTTTATCTTCTCTATCTCTATAAACAAATATGAAATTAATTCAATTATCAACTCCTTTTTTGGAGAGTTAATTCAAAAAATGAATGTAATCATCAATATAAAACTTTAAAAACTTATATACTGTATGACATACCCAGTTTAAAGGGAGGTGGTAGTCAGTTTCCATGTGCAGTAGGGCATAATTCGCTGACAGCAGACTTGGTGGTAATAACATTAATGGGCATACAAGTCTGTACACAGCAAACCAGTAGTCCCATCAAGAAAATGCAGAGCATTACATAAGGCTAGCTGTCATAAAACTGAAGGCTAGTCCTGGCAATATCTGTTATTGGGAACTACTACTATGCGTCTTTAAATCACTCATACTCTAAAATTGGAACCTAAAATTAGAAGACACCAAACAGTTCTCTTTCTTTTTGCATGAAATGCATTAATAGGTTCATGAATTATGAAGTTAAAATTACTGTTAGATATCATTAAAAACATCATTTGAATCAAGAGGATCACTGGAAACGAAGAAGACATAATAATGTCTTTATATGCCACAGGAATAATCTCCATGTGCCACATTTTATGTACCGGTATCATAGGTTGGATATTACAAAGACTTCCAGATAATTTAAATGTTTTGGGGGCAAGTTAAATCTATTCTATACCAGTGTTAAAAGGGTCATCATGACGCAGAGCAAATCAAGACCAGGAATGGTAAATTTGCAAAAGCCATTGTGGTGCACAAAGTAATTCTTCCCATGATTAATGATTGTTGTTTTGTGCAAAAATACACCTGTGGCAAACAAGTGACCTTCCAGAGAGCAAAGAAAGCAACCAAAGTATTACTAATCTGTATTACATTACTTTGATACAAATATGGTGGCCACTCAGGGTTAAAATAGGAAAGATCATGCAACACAGAGAGTTAAGTAGGGAGTGAAGGCATGAATGTCTGACACCCATATTAATGAATACTCACGTGGGGTTTATTTTACACCTAACCCTCATGGCTGGACTACTCACATCGCCTAACCAGGACCCGTTTGGATAGTCCTCTGTTCATGAAATAAAAGAGACAAACATTCATTTCACCTCCTTTTATTGATCGCAGAGAGGAAATAAATTATGACACAATTCCTGGATATGGAAGCCTGGATAAGGAGAGCTATTGTTAGGGGGTGGCTGTAAAGCACAATGCTAGCAGTGATCAAGAGCGATTGCACACTTCTAGGACTCTGAAACCTGTTCCCCATTAAGACACTTTTGGTAGTAATAAAAACATTTTATGTATTTTTAAATCATATGAAGCACAATGCTTTAGGCATCATATTCATAAGGCAAACTATTCAATGCTTTTGAAGAAGACATGCAAACGGCTATACCCTTGTTTTCAAATACCATGCACTTAAATAAGACTTTTTTCAAGGTCCAAAATAGTAATTCATTCAAAACTAGATGGAATTTTGACTGCGCGCAGTCGAAAATAATGCCTCCGCCATAGAGCAATTTAAACAAGTTTGGAGTTTAAATCTCCAGTGGTTCTTGAGATATCATAATAACAATCTCAATGTATGGAATTTCATAAGTTGACCTCTGTGACCCTTGACCTTTGACCTACGTGCTCCAAAATCTAATCAGATTGTCTTTCTATGGTGATACACACTATCATTAAGTTTGAAGTGAAAATTCTCCAGTGGTTCTTGAGATATCGCGATAATGATCTCAATGATCAGCCGACAGGCTTATCCATCTTGAAGCTAAGTTCGATAGTGCTGATCTGGTAAAGGAGAAAACAGATCTCAATGAGATAGTGGGAACTATCTCAAGAGTTGTTTATACCGTCCCGACGAAGAATAGGTTCGATGTCCTTGCGGATAATCATGTCACTGACGCTGAGCCTGCTACTTCGATGTCGACTAGTGACCAGATGAAAGAGTACCGAGATGGGCATCGCCAGCGCCGCTTATCTGAGCTACATGAATCTGTCCTTGAAGGCACAGACGTCGAGCCTCCTACTCCGATGTCGTGGAGCGACCAGATGAAACAGTACCGAGATGGGCACCGCCAGCGCCGCCTGTTGGAGGTACCTGCTGCTGTTTTCGAAGCCACTGACGCAAAGCCTTCGACTTCGATGTCGACGAGCGACCAAACCAATGAGTTCCGACAAGGGCATCGCCAACGCCGTTTGTCTGAGCTACCAGATGTTGTCATCGAAGGCGACTCGATGATCAAGCACATCGAGGGCCGACTCCTGAGCCGAAAACATAGAGTAGTCTGCCATCCGAACCCAGGGGCAACGGTGGCTGATATCTCCTCTAAGAAGGCTACTGAGGGTGTAAAGGCGAAAGGAGACGTCATTCTACATGTCGGGTCAAATGACTTGTCGAAAGGTAATGGTAGTACATCAACCGCCAATGACATCATAGCATTAGCAGACGTGATTGCAGCGAAAGGCTGTGATGTATGCTTGTCTGGTGTTATACACCGCAGATGGGAATCGGTTCACCAGAGGCGCAGTGTCGATGGGGTTAATGGGCGACTGAGAAGAGCTGCCCGTGAAAGGAGATGGGGTTTCGTTGACAACGACAACATAGGTGACAGGCACCTTGGCAGAGATGGGGTCCACATCAATAAGGCAGGACAAGCTGTTCTTGCCTCTAATCTACGCCACTTTATTGAGCGACCTCGAGGGCCACCTACACCTACTCAGCAAACGTCCTACGCTGAAGTTGTTGGATCTTCAACGCAGGATTTCGAGATGATTGCTCCGAGAGGGAGGCTAAAGTCTGCACCTGCTCTTCCAATGTTTCCACTGACAAAAGCTCAACAGGGGTGGAACGAGCATCTACGTCTCGTCATGGCAACATGCACTTAAACTCTGTCTCTGGTACTGGCATACTACATCATAATCTTCAGGATCAATCTCATGAACTGAATAAGAGTAACATTAAACAGTTGGAAGGTGGTTCAGTTCCTCCGTTTAGAAACAGGGGCTTAAAATTTGCCCATTTGAATATTCATAGCTTAGTTGCTAAGATTGACGAACTTAGATTACTTCTGAGAAATGCATCATTTGATGTTATTGGTTTAAATGAAACATTTTGCGACTCCATGATTGATGATTCTGAATTGTATATAGATGATTATATTTTATTACGTAGAGACCGTACGAGACATGGTGGTGGTGTGGCTGTATATATATCCAAGAGGTTCAATTATAAAAGAAGGGATGATTTGATTTCTTCTACTTTAGAATGCCTTTGGTTTGAATTGCATTATCCAAATAAGTCTCCCATCCTGGTTGGAGAGTTTTACAGACCTCCAAATTCTCACGTTGATTTCTTTGAAGAATTAGACGGAAATTTGGACTCTGCTCTCTCGGAAGATATGAGCTGTATTATTTTAGGTGATTTCAATTGTGATTGTATGCCACACCAACTTGATCTGAATGCTGAAAAGTTAATGTTTTATACAAATATGTACGGGTTAAGTCAGCTAATTGATACTGCCACAAGAGTTACAAATACCTCTTCTACTTTAATTGATTTGATATTTGTATCAGACAAGGAACTTTACAATGAATGGGGAATATTTGAAACTAGCATAAGTGATCATTATTTGGTGTATACGGTTCGCGATTTTAGTGCAAAGATCCATAACAAATCCGAATACGCAGAATTTCGCTCGTTTAAAAATCTTGACGAGGAGAAATTTTACAGTGAATTGAGAAGTACTCCTTGGCAGGTCATAAAAGATATAGATAATGTTGATGTTGCGTGGGATATGTGGTTGACTCTATTCAATAATATAATCAACAAGCACATACCAGTATGTAAAAAGCGGATAAGAAAAAAGGCATGTCCATGGATATCTGACGAGATTGTTAAGCTTATGACGGAACGTGATAAAGTTCTCAAAGCTGCTAAAGCTAACAAAAGTGATGATCTTTGGGACACCTACAAATATCTAAAGAATACAGTTATTCATCTCATGAGGAAAAGAAAAAGAGAATATAATGCAGACCAGATCTCGCAAAATCATAACAATAGTAAGCAAATGTGGAGATGTTTGAGAAACCTTGTGCCTAAGTCATTACCTATATCTCCCAATAGCATAAATGTTGATGGTGCTAATGTGTCAGACAATGCAAATATTGCTGAAGCTTTTAATGACTTTTTCATTTCTAATGCTACTAAGATTACAGAGGGCCTGCGAAGGAATAAGTCTCAACTGAGAGTAGACGAGGACAATAATATTGGTCCAACTCATTCGCAATTTAATTTGAATTTGATTACTGAGGATTTTGTATTGAAACAGAATGATAATCTGAGTATAGATAAAGCAACTGGTGAAGATCACATCAGCTGTAAACTTTTAAAGATGACGAAGAATGTTATCGCAGAGTCTCTTTGTGATATCATTAACAAATCCCTGTCTACAGGAGTTGTTCCACGTGAATGAAAAAGGCTCGGGTAGTACCAATATTCAAATCTGGAGATATTTCTTCTTTGAATAATTACCGTCCCATTTCGATATTACCTATCGTGAGTAAAATTATAGAAAGGGCCGTCCACCAACAACTCAGTGAATTCTTGGACGTGAATAAATTATTACACCCTAATCAGTCTGGTTTTAGACCTAAACATTCAACAGCTACTGCCCTTGCAAAACTTGTAAATCAATGGTCGTTGAATATTGATAACAAAGAAATTTCTGGAGTTGCCTTCATAGATCTTCGTAAGGCTTTTGATACTGTTGACCATGAGCTACTTCTACATAAACTAGCTTGTATAGGTTGTAGTAATAGGACTATTTATTGGTTCAAATCATATTTAGGGGATCGACAACAAGTGACCCAATTCAAAGGAGCCAAGTCGCATCCATCAACCATCAAATTAGGTGTGCCACAAGGTTCAATTCTTGGTCCCCTTTTATTTTCAATATATGTTAATAGTCTACCTGAATGTACTCCTGAAGGTATCATAGATATGTATGCTGACGATACGACACTTACCGTCAGTGCAAATGATGCAACTGTTGTGGAAGAAAAATTAACTGTTGCGTTAAACAGAGTCATGGCATGGATTAAGGAAAATCGTCTTGTTCTTAACACTGAAAAAACTTGTGTCATGTTAATAGGCTCTCCTGCTAATCTCAAGAAAATTGAATCTTTCACCATTTCATTAAACGGCAATTTGATCAAAAGAGTTCAATTCACCAAATGCCTAGGACTTTTGATAGATGAAGAATTGAAATGGTCTAAACAAATCGAAAACGTAAGTAAACTTACCCAGAAAAACATTAGCATGATAAAGAGAGCAAAGAGTTTTTTGCCTCAAAAATCCTTAAAGTTACTTTATAACAGTCTAGTGTTGCCACGATTAGATTACTGCTCTGTTGTATGGTCGAACCGATTTCATTCTCATACAACTAAGCTGCAAAAAATTCAAAAGAGGGCCGCAAGAATAATATTGAACAAGACATATGACACACCGTCGGCTGATTTGTTCACAAGTCTTAAATGGATGACACTAGACAAGCGGTTTGAGTTAAGTCGCGTTATGATGATATATAAATGCGTTCATAACTTAGCACCCTCTTACCTTCAGGTAGGCTTAATCAATCCTAATGATGTACATGAGCATCATACAAGGCAAATAGACAGTGGATGTTTACGTGTGCCTAGATTTCACACTGATTGTTATAAGTGTAGCCCAATTGTTTCTTCCATATTTGAATGGAATAAGCTAGATAATTCGTTGAGAACGGCTTCCTCTGTCAATTCATTTAAGAGATTGTTTAAACAAAGTTGTAATTTGTGAATGGCTCAGCCGTACATACACTACGTGCATGTTCTGTAATATTTACATGTCTTATTCACATAATTGCGACTTAATTAATATTTTCCTATTGACATTACTGCTTACTAGGTTAATGATATATGTTAATTTTGCAAACGAGTATTATTTTTGTAACTGTTCTGTATAAATGTTATAAACGATGTAAATATGTTCATTCAGGGCCCCATGGAAGACCACTACTTGCTGGTGAATGGGCTACCCTGTCAAAAGATCAGAAATAAAATAAATAAATAAATGTATGGAATTTCATAAGTTGACCTCTGTGACCCTTGACCTTTGACCTACGTGCTCCAAAATCTAATCAGATTGTCTTCCTATGGTGATACACACTATCTTTAAGTTTGAAGTTTAAATCTCCAGTGGTTCTTGAGATATTATGATAACAATCTCAATGTATGGAATTTCATAAGTTGACCTCTGTGACCCTTGACCTTTGACCTACGTGCTCCAAAATCTAATCAGATTGTCTTCCTATGGTGATACACACTATCCTTAAGTTTGAAGTTTAAATCTCCAGTGGTTCTTGAGATATTATGATAACAATCTCAATGTATGGAATTTCATAAGTTGACCTCTGTGACCCTTGACCTTTGACCTACGTGCTCCAAAATCTAATCAGATCGTCTTCCTATGGTGATACATACTATCCTTAAGTTTGAAGTTGTTACATCTCCAGTGGTTCTTGAGATATCATGATAACAATCTCAATGTATGGAATTTCATAAGTTGACCTCTATGACCCTTGACCTTTGACCTACGTGCTCCAAAATGTAATCAGATTGTTTACCTATAGTGATACACACTATCACTAAGTTTGAAGTTTAAATCTCCAGTGGTTCTTGAGATATCATGATAACAATCTCAATGTATGGAATTTCATAAGTTGACCTCTGTGACCCTTGACCTTTGACATACGTGCTCCAAAATCTAATCAGATCGTCTTCCTATGGTGATACATACTATCCTTAAGTTTGAAGTTTAAATCTCAAATGGTTCTTGAGATATCGCGCTAACAATCTCAATACAAGGAATTTCATAAGTTGACCTCTGTGACCTGTGACCTTTGACCTACGTACTCCAAAATCTAATCAGATCGTCTTCCTATGGTGATAAATACTATTCCCGAGTCTTAAGTTTAAATCTTAAATGGTTCTTGAGATATTGTGATAACGGTCAAACGGGACGGACATACGGACGGACGTACGGACGGACAACCCGAAAACATGATGCCTCCGGCACCACCTTCGGTGGCGGAGGCATAAAAATCACTTCATAAAATTTATAAAGCATATGAAGTGTTGAATTATTAACATTTCTGCCACATATACCAGAGCACTAAATTGACTTACAATACATACAATTATAAGAGTAAAAAAAAGAAACACAAGTATATTACTTTTAAATATGAAATACAAGTGTCGTGGCCGAGTTTAAGAGATACGAAGGTTCAGGGTACGAATCCCGACATGGCACTGATATCTTTTGTCAAGATATTAACCTGCACTTGCTACTCTCCACCCAGGTGTTAAATGGGTTCCCTGTAGGAAGCGAGCGTCATTGTTGGTCAAACAGTTTTTGAGCTTCAAGTAACACCTGACTGGAATGCTCCCCAGGGAGTGGAGATTGTGCATACCGTGTGCATAGTATATCTGTAAAAGTGCTTAGAGACAGCGCTGTATAAAAGCGGAATATTATTATTGTTATTAATGATCACTTTTTTGGGAACGAACCTTCAGAATTGAGTGTGATGAATGTGAAGTTGCCATCAGAGCTATGCGACGGCTTGGGGTCACCCTCGTAGTTGATCTCCTTCTGATCCACGATTAACTCTTCTTCCAGTTCTGAAAATATACAAACATGTCACAATGATTTTACAAAGAAACTTTGCTTAAATGGACTTGGTAACATTGTTCAGATGATAGAAATTGGTGCTAAGATAGTGACTTCAATGGTAGATGTACAATTAAAGATAATCTGAAAGTTTGAGTGAAAACAGACCACTATTATTGATAAAAAATGGGGGGAAAACTGATCTGATCGATTCCTTAATTCTCCCAACTATATTTTTACAATTTAATTACATTTGTTAGGTGAAAGTTTTTTAAAAGCCAGTCTTAAGTATTATTTTGGAAAACAGTGGGAAAATTCAAAAATGGTTGGGAGAATTTACTGTTAATCACTGTTATAGGGTGTTTTACAGTGATGCATTCAAAGAAAACTATAAATATCTTTGTGGTTTGAGAATTTTCTCAAGATTTTTTGCCTGTTAGAGGGTAAGTACAATAGAAGGAATATAATAAGTAACATTTCATACAAATATTACAGTTTTTTCATCAACCTTCAACAATGTTACCGAGTCACTTTAAGATTTAAGTCCTGGATATGAATGACTTGAATACATGTTATAGAATGCTTCTTGATGATACACATGAACAGGATCACTCTGGTAAAGGGTGTTATGACAACAGAGGAATCATGAAAGATTATGAAATGTTTAGCTTTTTAAACAAATTGCAAAAATTTGCTTTTCTTCTGTTCTTTATTCATGGTGAACCAGTCGGGTGAATTGAAAAACTGCCAAACAATTTGTTATCCTTGTTCCAAAATCTGAGGCGTATGCCCTAGTCCTTATTACTACTTTTCGTGCTTGCCACTCCCAGAGATTAAGATCCCTATAGGTCAAAAGCAATTCTTTATTTTCCAGATGTGGTCCTTTGTTAAAATGTTGTGTTTTCATGTGCCACTTCATTTTACTCAGCTATCCTATTAAACAACTACAGTCAAACCTGCTTTAGTGACCACCTGTCTACAAAGGCCACATTTTTTGTTTCCCTTGAAAATTGTTTCTCATTGAAACATCTTCTAAAGGAACCTGTACATAAAGACCACCTGCCTTTAAAGACCACTTTTTTTTGTCTCCCTTGGGTGGTCTTTATAGACAGGTTTCACTGTATATAGATCTGATATAACACGATCAGAATGTATTAATTACCCATATCCTGAGGCTTTTCACCTTGAATCTCCTCGGTGTTCTCCGTCTCCTTCTGTTCTGCCTTCAAAGACCTTAGCTGATCATCCAGCTGTTCATCGGGTACGGTCACCACCACAGTGTGAGGTCTGGGACCCTTGACGGGCTTGGGTTGTTTGTCAGTGAGGCTCTTTTGTCTTGGACTGTGTATACAAGAACAAAGTTTATTTTTAGAGATCTAGATGCATAGATGGATCAAATCAAGGAAAAGATTGACACCCCCCCCCCCCCTCTTCTTCCTCCCATTGAAATAGCAAAACAAAAAAGTGGTGTTACCACCTGCGGGCACCTAGGTACAGTGTGAGGTACTACTAGTGGACCCTTCACTAGCTAAGCTTGCTTGTCAGAACGGCTCTTTCGCCTTGAACTGCAGAGGCAAGTAAAAAAAAAACTTTCAGCTATAAAGAAATACATGGTGGATCCACATTGGGAAGAACTTGCCACATCCCCTTGAGGGATAATAATCTGTTCTATAAGTACATGTATTTATTTACAACTCTACAATGCATCATTGTTGACAAGGAGACGTGACGGCTCATTGGTAGAGCAGTGGTCTTGTAACCAGGAGTTCTTGGGTTCGAAAACCAAGTTGATGCATTAGAGCCCTTTGGTAAGGCACAAGTCCTTATTACCAAGTCCCTTCAGTGGAGTGGACTTAAAGCCATCCCCTGGTTGCTCACGTACAAGCACATTCTTTCTTAGCAGTCAGGTAAAACAAACCAACCAACCAACCAACCATTACCAAACCAATAATAACCCCTTACCGTTGTGTTTTCTTTCGCACCAGAGCCAACTTGAGTTCCTCAATCTCGTTTTCAAGTCTCTTGTTGGACTTCTGGCAAGCTTGCAGTCTGGCCGTCACTGACTTGAAGTGTAAGTCCATTGTCTTCTTCAAAAGAGCCATAGATTTCTGTGAAGTGTATGTTTATTGACAGATTAACATCAGTCATGGAAAAACAAGCAAGATTAAACCAAATTCATATTTACATATGCTTGATGGCCCTACCTAGCAGTTTGGATCAAAATTCATTTTTTCATATTTTGGCGCAAAATAATGCAATTTCTATTCATTTTTCTATCCTTAACAGTGATTTCCATTTCACAACAAGAGTCATAATTACTTCATCATCTTTCCCTTCTTTTTACATTGTAGAATTGGTAAAGAGGGCAAATAGAAGGAAATATGTTACATGTAAATATCATCCCTCACATACAGAACAGATATTTTTTAGGGGGTGATTGGTAGACTTTAAGATACCTTCATAATGGAACTGTCATGCTGTTGGGTGATTGATGCATCCAGCCTCCTCCTAGCGTCTATAGCACGTTTCTCTATTTCTGAATACCTGGGTCTGGCATTATCTGATGGGGTGAAAAAATTGACATCAGCAAAAACAAACTCTTACTTTATTCATAGTTTCCATCCTCTATATATATATATATATATATATATATATATATATATATATATATATGTTTTATACTGCATACTAAAACTTAAAGTAGGAATAGAATCGTAACAAACTAACAACTAATCAAAATGCAATCTGCTTCGAAAGTTCATCAAAATTCAATTCGAAAATAAGTAAATTTTGCACAGATCGAACCCGTCTTTTTGTTCAGTTCAAGTAACTTTCAAATAATGGTCATAGCTACGAGTCTGTCTGTAATGTACAGTACATCCTTGCCATTTTGTGGAGAATATCTTGCTTGTAAACATACCATTTTTCTTTTTTTTTTTTACTCTTTTCTTTGCAACAGACAGACTTGATTTAAAAGTAATTATAAAATAATACATACCTAGGGAAACTTTTTCCAGAGGTGTGCTGAACTCACTTGATTCTGTTTGTGTGCCCTCCTCCATTAATTCAGGTGTCTAAATTTAAGAACAAACAAAAACGATAATATTAATATACAGATGAGTATATTCCAGTGCACAGATGAATATTGATCTGTGATTCTGTACTGCTTCATTTTCATATCCATTTTAGAATTAGTATGGTATAATGGATTTCTCTTTTTGTAAATATATTTGTATTTTTCTAGCTGTAAATAAAGGTTTCTCAATGTTAATATCTTCATTATATCTCATGAAATCATATGGCTTAAACAGCTTCATAGATCAAATCATATTGGTGCTATAGCTGTCTGCCTAATGAAATAGAATCTAAAACTATCAAAAAGAAAAAATAACAAATTCAATATCCCAATTACAGCAATAATCTTTGAAAATCATTTTAAGTTCTTGAAAAATAAAAAAATTCTGATTAAAATTCTTAAGCTTATTTTTGAATCTCAATAACTTTATGAAATACCCGGGGAAGTTTCACAAAGATTTTATGTTGAACTTAACTTTAAGTTGGACTTACAAATTATGGAGAGCTCATTATGTTCAAAAGCGAAAAATCAAAGAATTTTAGACATGTTATAAATTCCACATCTGGAACATGAAATCTCCTTGATTAGAAAATATGAATGATTTGAATCAACATTTTATGCCTTCTAAAATAACTTTTCAAAATATTTTCATAGATGCTAACGGCTTTCCATAATACACCAGTTTACGGTTGTATCAGTGCGCATGCGCAGACAGTTGACCTCGGGTCATTGGCCCTGAAACAAAGCCAATGACCTGAGGTCAGTGGTATTTATGCGTAAATTAAGATTGCGCCCATGCAAATGATGATGAGCGCGCACAATGCAGCGTGTAGGCAGTGATATCATCATAATTTGCATGGGCGCAATCTCAATTTACGCATAAATACATGACCTCTAGGTCATTGGCTTTGTTTAAAATGGCGCACACAACCGTAAACTGGTGTATTGTTTAGTCCAACTTAGAGATAAGTTCAACTTAGGATCTTTGTGAAACACCCCCTAGGCCTAGATTATATTTAGAAAAAGGAATTCAAACTCACTTGAGAAACTTGTGAGCCTGACAAGTCATCTTTAAACAGCTTCTGTCGACTTTTCTTGGTCTTAGATGGTGATTCTTCAAGGTCAACAGGTGTTCCTATATCTTCATCAGAATGTTTACGCTTCTGACCAGAGCTGTGGGCCCTTGCTGTACGGCGAGACATGTTTCACTTTGAGTTGATCCTCCTACATGAGATATAAGGATTTTTTAGACCATAATAAATGACATTGATTTTTAATTTCTTTTAAAAATTGAAAAAATTACCGGTAAATGGAAATCCAACCTTAAGGCTCAACAGACAACTACTGTATAAGAAAGCAGAACAATTAGAGAAGCACACTGATGAAACTTGAACTAAATCAGACAAAAAATATGAAAGCCATGGATTTTTCGAAAGTTGCAATAACTATGGGCATTTCAAAGTGGCTGAATCGGTTGTGTCATTGTGATGAAGTATCAGAATAATATCCCATTAGTTTAAATTCAACACACAAAATAATTAAAATGTTATTTTGTAATCAAAATGCATGATTCAGGAGGGTCTTTTCTTTTTATAAGACCTATAATAATATGCTGTCCATAATATAATTTGAGTAGTGCCCTAAGTGCAGTGACTAAGTGAGAAGATACTGGGGAGAGAAAGAGAAATCTATTATATTTTTGTACACAACAAATAGGAATGTCCCATGAATATGACTACACAATTCACAATCCACTGACCCAAATTTCAATTCCAGATTCGCATGGACTTTGACTCGAGTTTGATCTCACATTTCAAATCTTCATAACTCCCTATTATTGGCCTGATATATTCAACATTTTTGTCATTTTGTGTTTTTTATTTTTGCTTCCATGCCTATGATATGAATTCATTATAATACAATAATACAAATACAAGCCGGGTTCGGCTCAGTTAATTAAGACAACCCAAACTTCAATTTCAAATTCAATCAACTTCAAATGCACTTCACCAGGCCACTTGTCCCTCAAAATATTATTTTTAATGTCAAACTGGAGTTACTATACCCCATAGTCCTTAGTAATTTAAATTTATTCTATTATTAAATTAAGAAGAATTTGTAATTTCAAGATGTCTTTTGTAATCAGGGCTTTTCAAATGCACTTTGCACATTACACAGCAGTGGCGCGCTGCGCTGGGCGGGTCCGGACGGTCAGTTGGGCCGACGCGGGCGCGGCGGGGCTCCGAGACTCGTAGGTTACCTCCACAGCGTAGCAGCCGCTATAAATTGACACAAACCGTTATTGCTCGCGTCCCCTCTTACAGCGGCTTTATGATGCAGGGGCAATGTTCGGTCAACATAAAATGCACAGTAAAGATCCAATAATTTACAAACAATAAAGCTACAAAGATTTGAAAACCATCAAATAACTGATAATAGACATGACTTATTTTGGGTAAACTTACAATTTTCGCGGAAACAGCGAGAAGAAGTGACGAGAATGCAACACGAGAACAACGTAGATCCCGATAAAATGGCGATCGTGAGAATGAGAACGTGACGTCATAAACTGCAGTGAATAGTCTTTCACTCAGCTTGCAAAAACCAATCATCATTTGGACTTACTCCAGTTTTTTGCCCCTTTATCTTCGTTTCAGAAGTTTGGCATCAAAATTTATAGTAGACCTACTGTACAGGCTTAAAGGACAATTCCACTCGAAAAATAAGTTTCTTTCAATAAAAACAGAAAAATCAGACAAACAAATCCAAAAAAAGTTTGAGCAAAATCGGATAAAAATAAGAAAAAGTATGTAAAACTATGGAACAATGAGATTCACAACACACATTGCAAAGATGGTTATTAGTTTGTGACGTCATGTCCTCACAACTTATCGATTGCTTTATATAGTTTAATCCCATTAATTTTCCTTTTTATCCCCATTGATTTCCCCATGCCATTGCCCAGGTTATGATTTGTATCATATTGCGTGCATGAAATTTCCCCCCAAACTGTTATGAATTTTGAAGAATTGATTCTATTTTCTGAATATTGTATTTCATAATTATTGATTTTTATATAAATGGTTTATCAAAATTCAATTTCTCATGATTTAACTGGACATAAATTACTCTTTATTTGTGCATCCACACATAAAAATATTACTAACAATCAAACTTGGATGCTGGTGTGAAGAAATAAGATTCTAAGGGTGAAAATAGGAAATTTATATTATTAATATAAAGAAAATAATTAGTGGATAGTGAGGACCATACGTCACAGACTCATGAGTGAGTTGCCAATTTGTGTAGTGATTTTCAAAGTTTTTCATGTCATTAAAAATTCACAACTTTCTTATTAGTTATCCGATTTTGCACAAAGTTTTTTTGATTGGTTTGTCTGATTTTTCTGATTCTATTGAAAGTAAGTCAATTTTGGAGTAGACTTGGGCTTTAATATCACAGCATTGCAATCAAGCAGAACATTTCTGGAAATGTAGGGTCTAGCTTGCAAATGTTCTCACTTGTTTGTTTTTAGTTTAAACCTGATTGGAAATACGGTGAGTGAACCACCACCCCCCCCCCCCCCCCCCACCCCCGCCAGTTTCAAATTATGCTAATGCATCTGGGTATGAAGTTACTGATACGCCACTGGTAATGATTATGCATGATGCGTGATGGATGAAATCTTTTGAATCAAAGTTTGCTTTAAATAGTTACAAATATCTTTGAAGGGGTGATTTATTAGTAATGTAAGTTTAAAATATCAGATTCGTTTCACTTAATAACGAAACTATATGGTCTTCTAGGCTTATCTTCTGTATAGGACTAATAGTTAAGTGTAGAATGTTGCTTGAAAAATAAATCATTTCCTGCAGCGAAACTTGTTGTTAGAAGAGAAGAGAGGAAAACACAAAAGGCTCTATGGGTATCAATACCGTCAGAGTATAATGTTGTTTGAGAAGTTCCGGTATAGCGCCATCTCGTGGCTGTTCCCTTAATGCACTGCACTCAACTCGCGTTAGCATGCAGATGAGGGACGGACTATAACCCTTGAAAGGGTTTACGGAGTGGTGGGGGGGGGGGGTATGTATCATCTGCCATCTCTCCTCCACCCCCTTACACCCATTTCAAACACTTTATAAAAGGACTGCGGGACACATTCATCAGAAGTTTTACGGGGATCACCCCCCCCCCCCCAACACAATGTGTGTTCCCAAAATCTCCGGCAAAGGGGACTTTTTCGCGCGTCAAATACAGCCCGCCATTGACTTTCACAACGGAGATAGGGGTGCTAAGTTTTTTTTTTTAAAGAGGGAACATGCATACGCGTACCCTAAATAACACTGAACACAAAAAAAATAAAAAAAGAAAAGAGAAACGTGTTTTGAATGATAATTTTGAATTAATGTTATGCAAGATCTCTTCAGATTTGTAGGTGTCCAGAATGCAAAGTTTCACTATTCAAAAATGATAATATTATTCTTTCCACTGTCTTGTTCGCTAAACTCTCTCGCCTAATAGGCCTATATTTTTCAACTTTAGAATGAAAAAAGATCTTTCAATCGTTCGTACAAATTAGAAAGGAGTCATTCTCCAGAAAGTGAAGAGACTGTATCCAACATTATCGAACTGACTTAAGTGTATACCGATCACCTGAAGAAGAAAAAAAAAATTTTGTGTGTTGCTAGAATGTATAAATTCATCCTCATAGGTAAACGGTTGAGTAGAAAATAAAGGTTACCATAACACCCCCGCATATAGCGCTCGGAACCCCCGTCAAACCTGTAATAATTATTATAGGTTCCAGGGGCGGATCTAGCTTTTTGCTAAGGGGGGGGGGGGGTTTTGACCAAAATAATGACGATGCGGAGCATCGTCCACGAGCCGCGAAGCGGCGAGCCGATTTTTTTTGGGGGGTGTTTATTTGAACTCCGTAAGTGATGTTTTCCTGGCATCTATTAACACAATGGAGACCATAAAAAGCAGTGCATGATAACGTCTTTTTAAATCAAGTAACAGTAAATACACAGTTATATCCAGAGTTATCATGTGTTTGGTTAAGTTACCAGATGAGTTGAATATCTTCTCACAATATTTGCACTTGAAAGGGTTTCTCTCCAGCGTGCGTTCTTTTTTCTTTCTTTTTTTCTTTCTTTTTTTTTTTTTTTTTTTCCTTTTTTTTTTTTTTTTTTTTTTTTTTTTTTGGGGGGGGGGGGGCCGCCCAAGGGGGGGGTTTAAACCCCCTAAACCCCCCCCCGTAGATCCGCGCCTGCCCCCTCCCCCCAAAAAGAAATAATAATAATAATAATAATAATAATAATAATAATAATAATAATAATAAATGAAATAAATACATAGAAATAGAATAAAATAAAATTACAAGTTTTGAAAAAAAGATAAGATTTAAAAAAATGGTCCCCGGATTTTTTTTGGGGGGGGGTTGCAACCCCCCCAACCCCCCTCTAGATCCGCTTCTGGGTTCAGACGTTCAAACGTTTACTATCTTGTACTTTTAAAGGTTTGAAAGTTTAGGAGATTATAGAAGTTTAAACGTGTAAAAGTTTAGTAATTTAGAAGTGTAAAGGTGTAAATGATTAAATAAAGTTTAAAAGTATAGAGGTCTTAGACTAGGATTAGAATTAATGAATTGTTTGTAAATGCGTCCACTGTGACAAATTGTGAAAACTATACATTTAATTTTAAAATATTATCTATTCGAGTTTATGCAATGTTCATTATCTTTACATAGACGATGTAATTTAAGTATTAGTCCAATGCTGGCTACGCACACACTTTACTGACTACTTAATGGATTTACAGAGTATTGTTACGGTTTAACGGACAACATATTAATATAGGCCTTTAGTTAAGTTTTAAAGTCAGTGTCTGCATACTTTAAACAAACGAAACTCGCTATCGAGTTCAGATGAAAATTTATTAATTAGATCTTAGTATGCATACTGGTGGGTGGCCATTTTGGCTGCAACCCCCTCCCCCCCCCCCCCCCAAAAAAAAGAGGAAATAATAACAGTGCCCTTAATAATATGCAACGTTTCGCTCGGTTGCCACGCGACCTTGTAAAAAAAGATGCAGCCATGATTTATCAAAGCCTGACGTTGCTTTTCAAAAATTCTATGCAGCAAAATACAAAATGCTCTTTACTGGCAGACATTGTGTTACGAGTCATGATAATTGTATGCGCTTCATTTTTCTCTTTCTATAACTGTTTCGATCTCTAAAACGACAAACGGAATTTCAAACGAATAATAAGCGGGGGTATATTGTAGGAGAGTTAAATGTTTGTAAATTATTTTGCCACGAACCCTTTTATTTTACGACATACTAATATTGACATATTTGTTACGCTGATTGAAAACCTCGTCCATTATGAATTGTATAAACTTACAGTGAATATTAACAACAAAATAATACAAACTAAAAAGCTTTATAGCCGATAACAATACACGTATACGTCACTGTTTTCACGAAGTGACGGTAGTGAGGAAAATCCGCACGCAAATTGTATGGGATTATCATTCACTACCGTCACTTCGTGAAAATAGGGAACTAGAGCCTACATGCATAGTTACGAAAAGAAAATACCTCAAGGAAGGTCGTATGCTTGCCCTTAAAATTATAACTGACGGAGCTAAGAAAAAGGAATTAATTTTTTCCCACGAAACATCAACACTTCCAAGAACCCATTATTATTGTCATTGACCATCCGCATTGTGACGTAGCAAATAAAACAACATTCGCTGCGGGAAGCCCCTTTTTATCGCTACCGAGTGCTACCGACCTTCGCGCGTAATGCACGGCACTTGTCATTGGGTACGCCCAGCGTACGAGCAGGATTAGATTCAGTGAATAACCCAGTCACAGAGTGCGAACACATACATTTATTCGAATGCAGACGACATCGTACAAATTAAGTAGTTATTTATGTCTGTATGTGGAGATCTACTAAATATTGGTTTGGTATACACAGCCAGCTTCGTGGTAGTAATTAAACCTTGTTAAAAGGCCTACCGTGCGTCAAAAATTGTTTTGAACCTCCAGTGCCAGTGAATTCGTGCGTGTATAGAAGGAAAATTATCTCTGACTGAAAAGTTTTCGCGTCTTGCAGGAGAGGGAATTTATATTCAGGAATCTACATCTGTTTTCATTTTCAAGCCATTGAAAAGGTCCTACAATGAATCGACGTGGAAAGACAAAGGAAGGTTTTCTACATGTGAAGCAACCATCGCGCTTTGGAAAGGTGAGTATAATGCCAAAGGTGTTTTTGATTGTAGGTTTTCATGGAGTTGCCATTTTCCTCCCAGCGTATAACCGTGGTCGGCCTTGGGTGTGCCGTCGGGCCAAGGCATCCCGCACAGGTTAGGGCGTGTGTCGCTCGTATGTCCATGGTTCGTGCCTGCTACCTGTTATAAAATAATGAACCGTGGCAAAGTGGGAGGGACGGGGGAAGAGTGACATTCCGGGAATAGTTGCGTCGATCGTCTGGTAGCAAAAAAACTAATGTGTACAATGTTGATGTAAACCATAGTTCGGAAATCGGAAATGCCACGATGAAAATGTTGTTATGCAATTTTCTTTGTAGCCACGTAGAACATCAACAACCAGCAACAATACCCATTTTACACGCTTTTAGAGCTGTTCTTGTACTTTAGCAACTGTTATTCACTATGTGATCACTTTTCATTACAGGAAAATCCTGTCATTGTACAAAGAGATGAGGCCGATGGGGCTGCCATAACTCCTATACGAATGAAAATGAAACACTTTCTATATTTCTGCATCAAATCATGGACTTACGGCCTACTATAGTACTAATCAAATCCACCTGTTGTATGTCAGCGGGTGATCAAAATGATCCATTAGGCCCTAGGTTTGAGGAGGATTGTGAGATGATCATGATGATGGGCAATCGGCAGGTTCAACTGTTGTTGCTCGTAGACATTTTCTATGGGACGTATAAAAACATAATTAAATTGTTAAAGGGGTGGGAGAATTTTTATACAGAATAAACCACATTATTATAGGTTTTGATTTCACTGATGTTCAAAGTTGTGGATTGGAGATACATCGACCTGGATGAGAAAGGGGACACAAAGTCCAAGATAACTAAGCAAAAATTCGAACAAGAGAGAAGGCGAGAGAGGGGGGGGGGGGTGGGGCAATTGGCAAGGCGGGTGGTCACTTTTTTTCAGAGCCAAAATTCTCTGACAATTCCACGAATAAACCAACAAATAAAAGGTTTTTAAGTCTTTAGGAGAGAGGGTCTCTCTAGACTCTCTATAAAAAAAAAGGGGGGGGGGGGAGTAAATTTTCACTCTATTTTCACCTTCTTGGGAGTGATGTCAATGATCACTTGTTTAGGAGTGAATATCGATTTATTTTAGAGTACTCCATGAAAAGAGTGAATATTCAGTCTATTTTCACTACATTTTCACTCTCCAGAGGAGTGACGTCAGTGATCGCTCGATTTATTTTTTGAGAGAGTAGATAGAGCTTTGACGGAGGTTCTGACCCCCATCTCTGTGCCCCTACTACTCATGTAATGTAATGTAATACTGGTTGGTTGTACCATGCATTGGAATGTTTTATCATTAATTTGATTTGAATGCATTATAACCTGAATTGTCTCCTTCCCCCCTTTGCATAGACTCGACCATGTAGCTTCCTTTTGTTTCCATAGCAATACCATTGGCGGAATCATATCATTATCGATAATTATCTGGATCGGGAAAACCCTTCACATTCGCTATAATCAGATTGTCCGTGCTATAATTATTTACCATGTAAACAGAGATCTACGTGCCTGTTGCATGTACGCAGAAGCGGCTATGATAATGGTAATCAATTAAATTACACCTGGGACGACTGTGAGCGAGTCTAATGAGAATTTCTCAATCATGAAATTAGGATTATTGTTGGAGAGCCGTGTAGAACTGTAGATGTTGCCCATGAAAAATCGCTGCTCTGTATCAAGTATATAGCTGAATTAAATCATCCTTGAGCCTAGTATAGTGAACGACTATAGGGATATTCCGGGTAATTGATGTTATGTAAGATTATGAAGTACGATCCCTATACATCTTCAACAGAAAATTGGCTGAGAGATTTAAGGGTAAGCAAATTTTGCATACAGTAGTTGGCTGTATAATCATAAAAAGTCATAAAAGTCAGTCAGCATGGTTCCGTATCTTTGAAAAACCCACCTGCCCAATATTATTAGTGAACGTGCGTAAAGAAACCACAGAAATACTGTCTTCATTGTCATGCGATGTATACGTACGAAAGAATATCAGCTTTCGTGAAATGATTTGAAAACGTGTTTTGGTTTCATGTTCTCAACCTTTCGTACGTGGGTTTTTCTTTCACTTTTAAATTGGTAACCCTGTTGCAGTCTTTGCGTTCAAACAACAAGTGCATGTTTCACAATCCGGAAACAAGATTTGACTTGGGAATTTCTGCTGGATTACGAAATGTAAGATGGGAATCCCGATACAATGACTTTCCTGTTCAATGAAACTCGGCACCCTTCCTTTTTATAAAGGCTGCACCCAAACCATCAACAAGGGTGGAGTGTGTTGTGAAAGTACTTGGTGCTTCTGCCTATTCTAGATTCGGAGGTGAAAGTCCAATATGTATGATAATCTTACAGTGTACTGTCAATAAACAGATAAATGCATAATGAAGGCAGAGACACTAGTATGTGACATTATGTCTGATGTAGTTGGATGTGACATTATGTCTGATGTAGTTGGATTTGGAATCAGTAACATTTTTGTCGATAAGTAAGGCAATAAATTCCCAATTTTTGTTTGTTTCCCTCTATTCGCCTTATAGAGTGGTGAAGTGTGACGTCATCAAAATTCTATTTTTAGAATTTCTTAATTTTTCTTCATTTCCCGAAAAAGCATCAAAAATAATGTCCAAATGTCGAAAACCTATTGAATATGTTAAGTATTGGCTGAGATATGACCATCTGAATAAATATATTTCCTATAGGAACTCAGTGTTATAATGCTCTGGCTCCTAACCATTATAACTCGTTGGTGACGTAACGGATCCGTCTGTTTCATGTGGTGGGATGGGGGTCATCTCATTCTGAAGTTATGTTATGAAAATGTGCTTGACTGAAATCGCAAGCAAAAACTTAAAACGGGCAATGCGGGGCACCGTTTCATAAAACTTAACTATTAACAGTAACTTTGCCATCAATAGTAATTGCCGTGGATATACCACTCAAGTGAAGTGACTCAAAAGCCAAGAGGTTTCCATGGAAGTTTTTTTTTTAAACGGGGCCCTGCTCTGTTTATCAATAATCGTACTCCATATGCTGAGTATTAGGGCAGCGTATATCTCTACCTATGATGATATATGTGTATGTATGTATTGTGTGCATACTTCAATTGAAAGAAAAACTGGTGTACTTTTAATATTTCTATATGTAGTACCCATACATGGGTGATCAAATTGAATACGGAATATGGCTATAATAATTACAGCGATTTGAAATATATTCTTTTGTGAATAATCGACCTAAGTGTTTTCCTACCGGGTATGAGTTGGTCGCCATGCATGCAAGCTTACGTTTACACCGATGTCGACTCGTTCTACCTCGACAAATTAATTGTATTCTGTAGCAATTTCAAGGGCATGGAATGGATGTAATCCTAATCGCGGAGAAATTATCAATATCTGCGCTCAAACAAAAGTGCATGAACCTATGCCACGGAATAGAGGGAGATACGGAGTCAATGGGGGGGGGGGGGGGCTGGCAGGTGCGTCGATGAAGTGACATGTGGTCCATTAGGGCAAGGTCCCTGCCCCTCCCCGAGCCCCCGACCCTCCTCGGTCAAATGGTTATTGTATTAACTGTTTTTCTTATGTGAAAAGCTTGGAGTATGATGCGGTATATAGAGTGTTTTACACCCCCCCCCCCCCCTCCTCCCCCAGCCCCCTCCTCCCCACCCCCCCTGATAATGGATCGACTCATGTTAGCTCATGAATTATCGCCGTAACCAAGGGACTACTTAAGTATCATTACGAGAAATTTGTATCAAATATAGTGATGGCATACAATGTAGATGTCATGTCGGTACTCGTTTTCTCATTTTTGAAGTGCATTTGTGGCCTTTTGTGCTGAAGCGGTCCGTATCAACTTCTAACCCTCCATTTATCAAGATGATAATCATATTGTATCCGATATTGAAAGGCTGACTCATAAGGCATACAACTATGTTCCAAAGGTTCGGTGCTTTTAAATACAATACCACTTCTGTGTCATCAGTGTACAGTTGCAAATTCTTATTTCAATCCAAATGTCATGCATAAATTCTATACGACCGAAAGGTTAGTCAGGTGTTTGCCAGATGCTTTTCAGACATAACAACTTTTTTGTTTTGCAAGTTGGATACAATCCATCTATTCTAGGGTCTTTCTGTCATGCTATTATGTAACATCTAACACGTGAAATAATTAAATAAACAGTTCGTCATCAATCACCCAGGGATTATAATATGAAAAGAATATCCCATACATGGTCATTTTGCCGCCATTGTTAATGATGCATTTCGTATAAAGAGAGTTTAATGCTTACATGAATTCTTCCAAATCTTTTCCTATACATATCGGTGAGAAACCTGTCATATTGAAAGCAAGTTGTGCTCGTGTCCCTATGGAACTCCACATGAAAGAACCTCCAAAGTATATCGATCGGTTTGTCATGACACGACTCATCCTTTTCATCACGACTCCCAATCGGATTTGTTTAACCCGATTTCGGAATTTCCGCTGGATCCACCCTTCTTTCTATCTCCTTTGCCGTCCACGTAAGCCGATGAAAGGTGAAAACTTACAGAACTAGACAAGTACATGTCATGTACTTCAATGGATTGTTAAAGTCGTGATAACTGTTAATGGGGAACCCCCTTTCCAGTGACATTGGTCGAAAAAGTAAATGTGTCGTTTTCACAGTTTCAATAAAGTATATTTAATATAAATACACTTCCTGTAGGAGAAAATTTTTCGCATAATGATAGAATATTTACATTCAGAAGTCAGAACATTTTTACTTACAATAGGAGCATGAGTCAGACGGTGCAGGTTCGACGAATCTGGTTCGTACGTGGTCGCACTATGCCCTCAAAAGTATATACTTCGAGATTAATATCATTTTGTAGACCACAAAATGAGTACAATTTTGTTGCGTGGTTGTGACGTAGTCTTCATGAACGGGTCAACGTCTCT